GGCACCAGGCAGGGAACAACCCAGGATGGGGTGCCAACCCATCGCAGGGCACACACACACCAGTCACTCACGCACCAGTCACACCTATGGGCAACATGGGAGAACATGCAAACTCCACACACATGGAGCCATGGGGGAAACTAATACCCTGGACCACTGCACCAGCATGCTGACCACTGCACCAGCGTGCTGACCACTGCACCAGCATGCTGACCACTGCACCAGCGTGCTGTCCCTTAGCAGATCCCTGTTCACGTTCATTTTGATTGCAGTAGAAGATTGGATTATATTTGTCTGAATTTGAATTTTTAACCCTTGTGTACATGGGACATTCAGGAAACACTGTTACCTCGAGTCTTTAGCATGAAAATAAGTAAGTCAACCCACAAGTAACTGTAACTATGCAAACTTTTTATTGCATACCTCTTCCCTGAACAATAAGAACAGTTTTTTTTAAAAAACAAATTTGAAGTTTACATCGTTTTACAATAATTTTATTTTCTTCTCAAGCACGGGTCCTCCGGCCAGCTGGGAGTTCCTCTCTTCACATTCAGCATGATAAAACTTTGTTTCATTTAAGGAATAAATTGCCTGAAAATTAACATCATTAAAATAAAAAACTTATATTTCCATTTAAAATTATTTTTCGATCAAAATAATGTTGTGTAATGTTTCATAAAGGCTCAGGCAAAATATGCCTTCCTGTTTATTTACGAGGGATGGGAGCAAATCATTCATTGGCGAGTCTTAGTCAAGTGTCGAGCCCAAGTCTTTCCATCATTTTTGCTGTCATGACTCGAATCCAAGTCGAGTTGTGAGTCGTGTAACTTGAGTTCCTACCTATGTCAGTTTTTAAGTTTTAGTGATTTAAAACTTGCTGCAACAAAAACCCACCACCGTACATTATAGGAAATGTTCTTTACAGGCAGAGAGAGGTTGAAAAGTCTCCAATCAGTTTTCCTCATACAGTTTTTATATCTGTGTATGTGCAGGGAGTGATGCATCCTTCCAACAAAATATCTCAGGAGACCAATTAAAAATGCAGAGAGCAGAGAATTTAATATACACAGAAATGATAAAATTAATTTTATGGTATCCAGAGGGGGGACTATAACCTCGAGTCTTCTCAAGCCGTCGGGTCCAAGTCTTTTCCTCATTGTTGCCGAGTCGAGTCACAAGTCATCAAATTTGTGACGAGTCCGAGTCGAGTCGCAAGTCACAGAGGTGGGTACTCATGCATAGCAAAGCTCTCAAAATACGCCATATCCTCTGTAAAGGTCGATTGATCTAACTCCATTATCATTCTGCACCCACAATATAAGTTACATTGGTCAAACATCATAAATCTGCCACGAGATAATGTTCCATTCACACCTCGCCAATTAGGGGCAACGGGAGTGTGGTAAATATCAGCAGGCTTCTAATGTTTTACTTTTATTTCAATGATATTAAGGTCATTTATCTGCGGGAGATGAAATCATTTGTCCAAGGGTTGTTTACAAATGTAGCATCTGAAAAGTACAGATACAAATAGATGCTTTGGTGTGTGTCTAGCAACCTTTAACTGTTCTGGCAAATAAATGACCATAAAACAATAAGCTATTTTGCCATAAATTTGGTAGTAAATTGTTGTGGATGAAAAGTACGTGACATACCCTGGGAACGCGTTCACGTTGAATTATATAACCGCAGGTGAGCTGTAAACATCACTAGTGACCCGAGGTATGTACACAAGGGATAACTCTCTCTCAGCCTAGGAATCTTTTAAACCATCAGCGATAGCTGGGACTTCCCTGAGGCAGGATACACCACTCAGGTGCAAACTAACACCAGCCCTCGGACACCTTCAACAAGGCGGGCAGGGAGACGTTACGTGTCTTGCTCAGAATTTCCGACTGAGGTCGGAAGAAAAGGAAACGACGTCTAAATTAGAAACCCCACTTCCTGCTTTCGGGAAGACGAGAAAACCATGTGGGGTAGCGCTTATTATCTAGGCCTCGTGTCTAAATGTCTCTCTTGATGATCGCAGTTTTGTCAGCAAAGTGATGGATCACAGTGGTGCTATATTTAGTGAACAGACAATAAATTTTGTTTTTTCCTTCAAAGCCAAACCATTTTGCCTTCTACGTGCTGTGACCCCAGAGATAGGGCCAGTTCTGTTTTCTCACACTGCCAGCATCAACGTACGATAAATTTCTGTGTCCTCCCTAAATTCCACTCCCTGAAAAACGTCTAAATGCCAAAGTGCTCTGGATCCTGCTTCTCTTCAGGCTGTTTACTTCAGCCTCAGGTGCTAGAAAGCTAATTCTTGGTAGATGTAAAAAATTCATGTAAAAAGTGGCAGGAATGTTAACTAATGTGTCTTTCCGGGCTCATTCAGAATCACGTCTGCAATATTCCCAGTGAGGGTGGCCCCCGGGGGGGCCCTGAGGGTGCGGCTGGGTTATACTAATAATAATATAATAATAATAATATAATAATTTATTATCATTAATAATGTATTATTGTTGTTTGTAGGGGGCGACATGGGGGGGGGGGGGCCCCCCCCCCCCCAGCAAGTCGCATATTCATGTGCTCCAGCTGCATTACATGATTGCATTACGTAATCCTCTCTGATATTTTACATTAGGTACTATTCATTTAAATCCATAATGTATATTTTTCACAACAGTTCATGTGAAAGGAAATACCAAATTCATAAAATTAGCTGTAGTATCAGAATCCAGGGTATATCAGTTTACGATGCCTTAACGCTCATATTGACGTATTTCTCAGCTGCTCTATTCACTGCAGCAGCATAACCGAATCCCTGACATTCACTTTGGGTTTTGGTGCCACCCCAGACCTTTCGGTGACTCCATCTCGGCCGGCTGAGATTGTGGGCCGCATCTGGTTTTCATTACAGCAGCAATTTCATGTTTTTTTTCTGTAGTTTAACACAAAGTGGGGACCTCTTGACACTAGGTTTTTAATTCAAAGTCTTTCACGCTGGCAAGGAAAATCCAGTCATTTTGTGGGCTAATTGAAAGCCGTTATTCTGAGGTAGAGGCAATTTTCCACTTTGCAGGCAATTTGTGTGCTTTTCTCTGCAGTGAGCGGCCTCATCATCCCGAGGTCAGGGGGCAGTAATTACCCTCTGAATATGCAGCCTTCCTTTCATTTCCTTATTCAGTGTTGAGAGCAGCACAGCCTGTCTGTTCGCTTGCAGCTGTAATGCGCTTCCAGGTAGCTAGTTAGCCGTCTGTTTCGCTGTCACATTCACTCCTCTGTATCCAGCATGAAGTGCAGAAAAATAATGACCTTCTGTGGAAGGCAGGTGCCAGCAGCAGGCGATCACACCGTCTCACTTCGGTAGAATATGGGAATAAATGGTAGGTTTATATAAGATTATAGCAGCAGCTATAAGGTGAGGAGTGAGGGTGAGATATCGTGACCTCGAGTGACGATATCGTGACGCTCTGCAGGGACGAGGGCAGCTGCATCGAGGGCATCGTGGAGATCTTCGACATGCTGCTGGCCGCCACTGCCCGCTTCCGGGAGCTGAAGCTGCAGAGGGAGGAGTACGTCTGCCTGAAAGCCCTCATTCTCCTCAACTCCAGTAAGGCTCCTGCTCTGGGGACCTGCTCACTGGCGCACATGAAGCCCGACATCTCTCATGTCAGAATGTAGCGATATTCCATCGGCCTTGATCACCACCACTGGGCCTGGACTGCCCTGGAGGCACTGGGATGAATGTCCTGAGGAGCTGGGAAGTGTGATGTCCTGAGGAGCTGGGAAGTGTGTATTTCAGAGGGGTTTGAAAAATCCACTGCCTCTGGCCGATAGATGTTTCATTCTCAGCCGTCTGTCAGCACTGTGGCTGGGAGCAGACCGATGAAGAGCCAGCTGGGACACAAAACACGATCCGTGTCTGTGCTCAGTGCGGAGACAGTGCTCAGTGTTCGCAAAATGTATATGCAGTGCCTCATTTATACGGAGGGAACCACTGGTCTGATATTTATATTCAAATGCATGTCATTGAAGATGTCTGAGATAGAGCTCAAAATGAAACTGAGTTGCCTTCACATGGTACAGTACAGTGAGTTTATGTAAGGAAATCGCACCGTACAGGTGCTGTATCTGTTTCATATCTGCCTATTGTAGCTGTCAACACATATACATTACTCAGGGTGTACGTATTACAGGTTTGATATGGACAATGGGCGTTACTCAATAGGTCGTAAGTTGACGGATGCCTTTATAAACAAAAGTACTCGTGTTGTAATTTCATTATCAGTATTTTATTAAGCAAGTGATTTGCATGTTTAACTACAGGTATGTAGCAGCTCATATGGTAATTATGGCCGTAGTAGAAAGAAAGCGCAGCCTTCCAGGAAGCAGCCATCTTCCCTTCGTCTTCATTTCCAAGTCACTGAGTTCGAGAGCATTAGACAGTGGCCGTAACTCAGAGGAACTGCTTGTTCTAATTGCTGTAACCTTCAGGGAAATTTGGGCAATGGAGAGCGATGAGCTGTGAATGTTTGCCAGGAACGCAGTACCACAGATGATGAATAGCAGAATGGAAGACTCACATCCTTATTTTTTATTTTTTTGCTTTTCTTTAAAAATAATGGATTACAGGCCGTAAGACTTTCATAGTTTTCCATTAGCGTTTGGCGATTCTGCTGCATGTGTGTCTTTGTAAGAACATTCTGATTCCTGAGTAAAGCTGGGAATGTTTTAGGGTACGTCTACTGTTAGGTTTGAGTGTGTAGTTTGCATTTCCTTCGCATCTCGGGGGTGCGTATTATATTTTTGAGTGAATGATCCCTAATGAATCTGGGTCACCCCCCCGTCTCCTACATGTTAAAGTCCTGCTCAGTATAGTCCTGACTATTGAAGAGATTTTTTTTAAACGGATATGGGTGCGGGCTTGTATAAGCATGGATTTCGTGTTTCATTTGTGGTATATTTGTGGGGAGTTCTTGTCATAACATAAAAGAAGCATTTACACTGTTATGAGAAGAGATTGCGGCGCATGTGGCTTTATATGGCCAATGCATACTTGCGTAGCCGTTATGTCAGTCCTGTTGTATCACTATGACGGGTATATATGTTTACGCCCGTATAAATCTACCTGCACTTTTCTCGGTCTATGTCTTCATGTACCGGTCAGTCCTTGCATAAACATGAGAGTGTGTGCTTGCCTATAAACAGTGTGTGTCGGTAGATGTTCGTGTGCATGTTTGTGTATTTATGTGTGTGTGTCACCTGCAGACATGTGCCTCGCTTCACCAGGTAGCGGGGATGAGCGGCACGGCAGGTCCGAGTTGCAGAAACTTCTAGATGCCGTGACGGAAGCTCTTATCTGGACCATCGGCAAGATGGGCCTGAGCTTCCAGCAGCAGTCTGCCCGGCTGGCACATCTCATCATGCTGCTGTCGCACATCCGCCATCTGAGGTACAGCGCCCCATACTGCCCCCCTGTGGTCCCTGTTCGCTATAGCATGTCTAGCTGCTTGTGCGGCTGAAAAATCGTCAGCTTTAATGACTCATATTTGCATGTAATTATCTAGCTTCTTTATAACTTTATAGTTGTCTGATTTTAGCAGGTGAAATATAATCATAATCGGTATCAAATTAAAGACAAACTTTGGAGCTGACAGTAGACAGACTGGACATCCCTTTACTCGGAGTTCTTCATAGTCGCTTGTCTTGTTCAGGACTTGGGGAGGTCTTGAGGAACAGGAGCACCTAGACTCACATACTTCTTGGCTTTTATCTGCAGTAACAAAGGCATGGATCATCTGTACTGCATGAAGATGAAGAAGATGGTTCCTCTGTACGACCTTCTCCTGGAGATGCTGGACGCCCACATCATGCACAGCACCCGCATCCCCTACCCGAACCCAAACCCGAACCCGAACCCGGTACCGCCCCAGCCCCAGGCAGGTTCCCCACTGTAGCCCTGTGAAGGTTTGAATCCCATATCTGGCTGAATGATTCCATTACTGAACCTTGGGCAAGGACCCTAAACCAAGCTGCACAAGGGAGTCTGTCTCACACTGGGCTCTAATGCTCACCAGTATGTCTCACACTGGGCTCTGATGCTCACCAGTATGTCTCACACTGGGCTCTGATGCTCACCAGTATGTCTCACACTGGGCTCTGATGCTCACCAGTATGTCACTCCACACACCTGACCACAAACAACTACTGTCCCAATTCGTATTTTTAGCTGAATATTGCATTCGCATGGTTAAACTATGCAAACAATAAGTCAGATTTCATTACGTTTTAGTGACAACGACAGAAAAACCCCAAAACATCTATATCAGGAGAATGAGATTTATTTATTTTTTTTGTTCCATTAAAAAATACTCCAGGAAAACGGCGTCCATAGATCAAAATGGCATATGAAGTTTTACAGAATGTCTTGATTATAATGCTAGCATCTAGGGATGAGAGGTGATGGAGGTGAGAGCAGACGAAAGCTCCTAACTTATGAGAACATCGTCTAAATCAGTGTTTCCCAATCCGGGCCTCGGGGATCTCCAGGCAGCCCACAGCAGGGAGCTGGGATTGAGCAAAAACGTGGACCGTCTGGGGATCCCAGCAGGCCGGGTTGGGAAACACTGCTCTAAACACTGTTGCAGCATTGATAAATAGGTCGGCTGTGCAGAATTTATGCAGAGTTATCCCCGTGTAAAATGGAAGATCAGGTGAGAGGCAGAGGACTTGCATAATCACGAGGAGAGCAGAGGGAGGCATGGGACTGCTGATGGAGCGAGTCACAGTGCTGAGGTCACAGTGCTGAGGCCGCAGTGCTGACCTTTGGGCTCACAAAACAGTCTTCACAGAGCCCTGTTAGTTACCGGAGAGACTAAAGAGGAACATGTTTACCACAGACTCAGAATAAAGTATATGGATGTTATTGACAATAGTCCATAAAGAGGGACCCTCTGCGAGATCCTGCTGCTGTTTGTAGATCAGGCTGGTCCCAAAAAACACACAACCTGATTTCCGAGGCCAGTGCAGTTTGGTGAATCCATGGGTAATATGCAGACACATTTGTATACGAGAAATCTGAGCTTATAATAATGTATCACACAGTAATAAATGCACAGACTGGCCCTACTGCATCTTTCATAGGTAGTAAATACATGGACTGGCCCTACTGCATCTTTCACAGGTAATAAATGCACAGACTGGCCCTACTACATCTTTCACAGGTAATAAATGCATGGACTGGCCCTANCTACTGCATCTTTCACAGGTAATAAATGCACAGACTGGCCCTACTACATCTTTCACAGGTAATAAATGCATGGACTGGCCCTACTGCATCTTTCATAGGTAATAAATGCATGGACTGGCCCTACTGCAGAACAAAAGATACTTAACTACATTTACACCTTGAGAGACCCATGTTGCTGTAGCACCAAGGTCACCACAGGCATGTATTGTGCTGTCTGCAGAGTTGGAGGGTATGTTTTAAGAAACTCAAGTTTCTCAAACTGATGACAGGAGAGTTTATTGTCACTGTAACAGTCCTCTGTGATTTTAAATGGGAGTAGAGAGAGAGAAGGCTGCTGTCGGCCATTGCTAAGAGGTGCGTGCTGGTTCCCCACAGGGAGGCCAAGACTCGTGACCCTGGAGGAGAACCAGGAGGACCCACACAGACACAGCTCCTTCTACTCCCACACAGACACAGCGCCTTCTACTTCACTGCCTTTTAAATGGAATGATTTTAAATATTCATTTTCAAGTTTTCCATATGGATTTCCATTTGTTAATTATCCATCCATCTCCCAGCCTCTTCCTGGAGACGTGGAGCCCGTCTTTGGCAGTACAGGACGGGGGCAGAGGGGCTGGGATGGGATGCCAGTCCATCACGGGGCCACATGATCGTACGCTAGGAGCAATTTTTAAATACTAATTTTTCTAACAGCATGCTTTTGGTCTGGGGGGGGGGGAGAACTGGAGTACCCAGAGGAAGCCCAGGGAATATGGGGAGACCAAGCGAGCTGCATACACACAGCGGAGGGGGGGCAAGACCCCAGCCCTAAAGGATCAGTGCTGCAGCTTTCCACGGGCTTAAAATGCCATCATTCTCAGATAACTACAGTTGAGGTAATTCAGATTAAATGGAAGAGCAGGCTGAAATGGAGCCGGAGAAGGTCTGCGTAAGCCCTACTGGACCGACGTCTGCTGCTCTCCGTAAGCCCCACAGGACCGACGTCTGCTACTCTCCATAAGCCCCACAGGACCGACGTCTGCTGCTCTCCGTAAGCCCTACAGGACCGGCGTCTGCTGCTCTCCGTAAGCCCTACAGGACCGGCGTCTGCTGCTCTGCGTAAGACCTACAGGACCGGCGTCTGCTGCTCTGCGTAAGACCTACAGGACCGGCGTCTGCTGCTCTGCGTAAGACCTACAGGACCGGAGTCTGCTGCTCTGCGTAAGACCTACAGGACTGGCGTCTGCTGGAACTTGCATTCGCTGTTGTGTTTCACTTTTTATGGCTCATTCATTCTCTGTCATGACTTGAGTGGTAAGTTTGCTTAAAACCAGAGCCGCTCAGCCCTTCAGGTGGCACAGACGGCCTCCTAGGGCACCACCTTCTGGTGGGGAACTGACTTAGCAAGCCACTGGAGACATAGTGGAGCGCAAAGCTTGCCTACGACGTCCAGCGTGTCCAGTCCCTCTCAAGGAAGCAGAGCCTCCAGTCACTATTCTGCAGCTCTATCCCACTCAGGTTTCCTCCATCTGCACTCCTTAAAAGTCTGAGGAGTCCGGACACGTTTTATCCGAGGCTTCGCCCCAGCCGCATTTATGACCGATTTACAGAAATCCGTCTTTTGCTTTTTACCGTTATTCCGTTTTTAAATTTTTTTAATTTACATTTTTTAAAAACGTAGCACAAAATGACCACGTTAAAATATATTTGCTGCTTTCAGTTGCAGAGATTTAGCATGTTTTAATAAGGGTGCAGCTGTGATCATTGTTTTGCTTTCCCTGAAGGAAACTGAAGCTATTGGCTGAAATACAAAATGCTGTATCCCAAATGAAAAAGAATCAGGTCTCATGCGTACATATTGGCAGGGGGATGCAATAAAAAGTGCTGACTGATGACTTTGTTCTTTTGAGTGCAACACATCACTTAGAATGTTCTTGGGTTTCCTAAGGAAGAACAGTAAACAGGCCTGATTAATACCCTGCTGTTACACGCTCAACCATAAACTCTTGGCTGATCTCTGCTGGGATGCACAGACCCTTCTGTAGAGGGAATAGGCCACTTGGCTTATGTTGTGTAACAGCCACATTCTGAAAGTAATGGCTTCATTTTGGCAAAAGATTCGGCGGGCGATGAATGATGCACAATTTCTCGGTCTGTCACAGAGAATTTGAAGATCAGCAGAATTGATTTAATACCAGCGCCGGGAAATGCGACCCTAAATGTGGTGCCGTCACTCCAGTGTATAAAGGAAAATGCGACATTTCAGAACAGACACATTAGTCCTTATGCAGTATGTGCACACGCTTGGAATGGAAGCCCACAGCCTTTAGCAAGAGCACTTCAATGTACACGCATCATTTTGTTTTAATTATAAGCAACGTAGACATGGGTTTATGGAGTGGATGGGAGAATTTGTGCTTTGTGTTTATGCTACATGTACATTGAGAATTGATTACTGTGTTTTGAGTTGTAACTGCACGCAACTGTAAGGATTCAGTGTATGAAATGTTGAAGCTGGCAGCCAAAATCCCTGTGTATTTGTCATTCTGCATTCACCACAGAGTCAATCATGTATGAACTGTTCATAGTGTACGATCATGTGCTATATTGCTATATTTTCTAAATAAATGTCTTGGAAAAAGGAGAAAGAGCCAAAATTAGATTTCTGTCAATGTGTATGCAGCTTTGAACCTCACTGTACTGGAGACAGGCAATATTTTAATAGCCCCCACATTGTCTCTGGGACCAGTGGCCCCTGAGCCCTTTTACGCTCTGGGACCAGCGGCCCCTGGGCCCTTTTACTCTCTGGGACCAGCGGCCCCTGGGCCCTTTACCGACTTTTCCACTGTGAACAATGTTAGATAATGACAGCTGAGCTGTAACTGGTTATATACACCAATCACCCATAGCATTAATACCACTGAAAGGTGAAGTGAATAACATTGATTACCTCATTACAAAGGCACCTGTCACGGGTCCCATTATATATCAGGCAAGTGAACAGTATGTTCATGAAACTGTTGGAAGCAGTAACAATGGGCAGCGTAAGGATCTGAGTGACTGAGTTCTGAGGGCCAAATTGTGCTGGCTAGATGAATGGGTCAGATCAGGTTCAGAACGGCAGGTCTTGTGGGGGGTTCCTGGCATGCGATGGTCGATACCGACCAAAAGTGGTCCAAGGAAGTCCAGCTGGTGAAGGGGGTCATGGGCGCCCAAAGCTGGCTGATGCGTGTGGGGAGCGAAGGCTGGACTGTCAGGTCTGATCCCACAGGAGAGCTACTGTAGCACAAGTTGGCTGTGATGGAAAGGTGCCAGGACACAGTGCATCACAGCTTGCTGTGCAGCTGCAGACCGGTCAGAGTGCCCATGCTGACCCCTGTCCACCGCTGACGCCTGCGTACAGTGGACATGTGAGCATGTCGGGTGCATGTGTCTTGTTTACTTGGGGAAGAGACGCCACCAAGATGTATTATGGGATGAAGGCAAACCGGCAGTGGCAGTGTGATGCTCTGGGGGATGTTCTGCTGGGAAACCTTGCTCTTGGCATTCATGTGGGTGTTACTTTGACACACACCACCTACCTAAATATTGTTGCAGACCAAGTACAGTCCATCATGGTAATGATTTTTCCCAAGTACACCCAGTCATGGTAATGGTATTTCCCAATAGCAGTGGCCTCTTTCAGCAGGATAATGCATTTTGACACACTGCAATAAGTGTTCAGGAATGGTTTGAGGAACATGAAAAAGAGTTCAGGGTCTAGGCCTCTGAATTCCCCAGATCTCAGTCTGACTGAGCATCTGTGGGATCCATGGAAGCCCCACCTCAGGACTTAAAGGATCTGCTGGTAACGTCTACAGAGGTCTTGTGGAGTCCAGGCCTCAACGTGTCAGAGCTGTTCTGGCAGCGCAAGGGGTCCCACATAATCTTAGGCAGGTGGTTTTAATGTTATGGCTGATCTGTGTAAGTGTATATTCACCCACCCAACCCAACCCCCATCAGTTTCAAACACATATCAAAGGGAAAGTGTGGCACCTGAACACTGCAGGGAGTTTCCATGGTGCCTGGGGCAGGGAGGGGGGCAGTCAGCCCCTGTCCGATTCCCAAGGCCTGACTCCACCCAGGGGCCAAGTGATGGCCGAGACCACCTTTCCCGAACCATTTATGGTCTTTTTTTGCCTCCACCAGATTGTGCTCTTGGTTTGCTTTGGGTCATGCTTTGTGCCCTTTTCTGAGCAGAGAGCTCCATCTAGTGGGGTCAAAAATACAGCAAGTGGTTCATGGAGCACCATTTTGACCATCAATTCTCCATAATCTACAAACAAAAAATAATGGTGTAAACTTATTTAAAATAGTTTGTAAAATTTTATTTTGATTTGATTAAAATATTTGGAATAACATACAAGCAGTACAAGACGGTATAACAATCATCTCTCAAGTTCAGATATTTCAAGGTGCTTCTGTATTCCGCTGCGTTTCATATTCACAGCCTGAGAGAGAGGGGCTCATTATACCAATCAGTATAGCTAATCAGTGACTGCGATTCATCCTCGGCAGCTATAAAAGGCGTTTCATAAGAGTGAAGTTTGTGTGCATTCTAAAAAAACAACAAAAACAAACCAAGCAACTGCTCTATACCTCATGATGCTTCAGCTTTGATATGTCAGCTGACCAGTAATACAAATAATACAAATTAGGCTTAATGTAGATCCCCAGAAAATGACACAAAGAAAGAAGGAAAAAAATAGGAGGAAAAACTCAAAAGATATCAATTTCAGCTGGAAAAAAACTTTAAATGATAGATTTGGGGGAGATACTTTTCTAGTGCTCTTAAAATCACCCACCACAGCATATTCTCAGCAGAAAGAAACAAGTTCACATCTATAAATGCCTGTATGTACAATCTTAAAAAAAATATTCTTTGGGATTAAAAATGTTCTTAAGGAGCAGGACCTGCTGTATGACCAATTTTATTGGGGTACTGGGGGGGGG